CTGTTTCCAGAACTATATGGAAAAGGAGTGGTGATAGTGAGCATCCTCGTCTTGTTCCTGATTTTAGAGTAAAAGCTTTCAGTTTTTGTCTATTTAGTATGATGTTGGCTGTTGGTTTGTCCTAGATGGCTTTTATCAGATTGAGGTAAAGACCATCTATTCCTATTTTCTGTAGGGTTTTTTATCACGAATGGGTGTTGGACTTTGTCAAAAGCTTTTTCTGCATCTATGGAGATCATGTGATTTTTGTCTTTGGCTCTGTTGATATGGTGTATTACATTTATTGATTTATATATGCTGAACCATCCCTGCATCCCTGGGATGAATCCCACTTGGTCATGATGTATAATCTTCTTGATAGTTTGCTGCATTCTGCTTACTAGTATTTTACTGAGGATTTTTTGCACCTATATTCATTAGGGAGATTGGCCTCTAGTTCTTTTTAGGTTGGGTCTTTCTCTGGTTTTTGCATTGAGTAATACTTGCCTCCAGAAATAAGTTAGGGAGAATTGCTTCCCTTTCAATTTCAGTGAAGGGTTTGAAGAGTATTAGCATTAAATCTTCTCTAACTTTCTTGTAGATTTCAGGTGTGAATCCATCAGGACCTGGGGTTTTCTTTGTTGGTAGTTTTTAATTGCATTTTGCAATCAATTCTTTTAGGATGTCATTCCACCATCTCCTAGGTTGCATAGATTTCTGATCTAAAATCTATTTTAGGGTGCTGAGGCAGGTGGATCAACAACAGCTCAAAGTCAACCTGGGCTATATCATGAGTTCAAGCCCAGCCTACAGCACAAAGTGAGACCCCATCTCAAAAGAACCAAAAAATAAATAAATAAACAAACAAACAAATAAATAGTATTATTTGTATCTTTGTTCCTCTGTACATACTGTGTCTGTCTCTGGCTGCTCCTAAGATTTTTCTTTTCATCATTGCTTTTATCAAGTTGATTATAAAGTACCTTGGTGTGGCTTTCCTTCTTTTTCTTTTTTTGTTTTAAGGTTCATTGATCTTCTTGGATTGCACTGTTTAGACATTTTCAAGTCATTCTTTCTTTAAATATTCTGCCTTTCCTACTCCTGCACTGTTTTGGAGGCTCCAGTGATATGCATATTTGGCCAGTTAAAATAATCTCATAGCTCCTTGATATTATTTTCATTTTTAAAATTATTTTCTCTCTCTGGATTTCATTTTTGAGACTTTCTAGTACTGTATCATCAGGTCCACTAACCTTTTCTTTGGCAATATCACTGTATTATTAATCTCATCTAGTTATTTTTCATCTCAGACATTTTGTTTCTTAATCGCTGCAGGTTTGATTTGGGGGTTTTTCTGTCTTCCTTGTTTCTACTTACTTTAATAACTTTGGTATGGTTGCCAGGACTATTTTAATGTCCTTATTTTCTGTTCTATTATCTGTGTC